CAAACCTTTGATAGATCCGGCCCATAGACAGGTATGGGGCATTGCAGGCTAACAAAGAAGCCAAACGACCCCCATTCCAAAGGGGGGGACCCGTTCATCCGTTTCTATTTGCATGTTTTCTAAACTAAAACCAGGCTTTGTTGGGCTGCTGGATAAAACCTGGAACTAAACGCTATTTCTGACATTTTGGATTGAAAAATCTTCCTGGATGGAAGAAAAACGTCTTCAGACTGGGAAACAAAGTCCAGTGGATTGTTTTTTTTAATGTGTTTGGAATATGGAGAAAAAACAGTCTGATTGGGATCTGAGTTTTTTTACAGCTGAATTTTTACGGCTGAATTTTTGTGCAGCTGAATTTTTTGCAGCTGTATTCTTTTGCAGCTGAATTTTTTGCAGCTGAATATTTTTGCAGCTGATTTTTTTGCAGCTGAATTTTTTTGCAGCTGAATTTTTTGCAGCTGAATTTTTTTGCAGCTGAATTTTTTGCAGCTGAATTTTTTTTGCAGCTGAATTTTTTTGCAGCTAATTTTTTTGCAGCTGTATTCTTTTGCAGCTGAATTTTTTGCAGCTAATTTTTTTGCAGCTGAATTTTTTGCAGTTGAATTTTTTGCAGCTGTATTTTTTGCAGCTGATTTTTTTGCAGCTGTATTTTTTGCAGCTGAATTTTTTTGCAGCTAATTTTTTTGCAATCAAATTTTTTTGCAGCAGAATATTTTTGCAGCTGATTTTTTTGCAGCTGAATTTTTCGCAGCCGAATTTTTTACAGTTGAATTTTTTTGCAGATGATTTTTTTTAAAACAGAATTTTTTGCAGCTCAACTGTTTACAGCTTCATTTTTTGCAGCTGAAATTCTTGCAGTCAAAAGTTTTTTTGCAGCTGAATTTTTTTGCAGCTGTATTTTCACCAGATAAAATTCAGTGTATAAAATTTGGTGTACAAAAAAAGGCAGATTCCAATGAGACTTTTTTTCATCCATATTGGAATGACTATGACCTGGATGACTGAGAATCTTCACCAGCATGTTGCTTGAATACGAACTCCTTCGAATTGATCTTGACATGTGGCCCAAAAAACCCGCTGACCATAGGAGTTCATTTCACATCCCTGCCTCCATTGATGCAGCTGCCCTGATTCCCTAACGAGGCAACGGCGTCAAAGGCGAGCAGTGATGAGATGCTCCGGAGCTGACTTCTCTTCACCCAGCAACTGTTCCACGCACACATTTTTTAAGCGTTCACTCGCAGGCTTTCCGTCATTGCTCCATAAAAACCGGCAGATTTAAAGGTAGGGGCCGGTGGCTCCACTTCCTGTGTGGGTGAAGCTGTGAGCAGTAAACGCCTGTGGCCTTCCATGACCATGTCACTTCTTGTTTTTTAATCTCCTCTATGTGAGTCTGTGTTGCGCTCATTCAACATATCAGTTTTGGGTGTTTGAAGAGCTGTGTGTGTGTGCGTCTGTCTGTCTGTATTCAGAGTGGCTCCAGGCCCTCATGCGTCAGAGGTCCTTTCTATTTCTATGGCCCCTGAGCAAACATATTAAGAACCACCTTATCACCGCTTAAACAGCGAGGGCCACACACACATTCGGTTCTGTCCTGAACACACATTCCACATTAACAAAAAAAAAAATTGCTTTCAAACCAATCCCACTAAGCCCTCGGCCAAACTCTCCAAATGTCACCAGTCCCCCCAGTAGGAAGGGCTGGCCCCCCGAGGAGCTCTGGGCTCTGTGACTGGTTCCTGCGAGCAGTCGGTCACACGGCCTGCAGAAGCTCGGCTTTATAAACGCCAGATCCAACCAGAACGGCGTCCTTGACGAGCCTCGTTTAGAGGGACACACTTGGCCTTTCAAAGACTGTCATCTCGGACCGAACCGAACCACGCCTTTAAGGGACTCCAGGGGCCTGCATATCCCCCCGCAGAGCTCAGAGCATCATCTACCAGCCTCTAAGCCGTAGAAAACCAGTTCTAGAATTAAATGCAACTTTTCGTGGTTAGGAGAAGCCTCGTTGTGACAGCTGAGAAGCAGCGGACTTTGTAAACCTGCAACAGAAAGTCTTCTGCAGACGCCATGCCGAGCAGAGCGGCGGCCATCTTTGGGATGAAGGTGGTTCTGATGAAGCTGATGCTGTCGGGAATACAGGTTGACTCAGCGCCCGCGGAGAGGCGTGGAGAAATGGCTGAACTAACAGGTGAGGGCGGCCATGTTGGCCAGGGAACGGGAGAAAACATCGAACAAGCTAACGCCATGAAATCAATGATTTTATTCTATTCTATTTGTGTATGCATATATATATATATATACATATATATAAAAAATATACTTATATATATGTATTTATTGTTTCAAAATTATATCAATTCATGATCTTTTAAGTACATTTATGTACACAAATTTACCAGAATTTTGTTATATCAAATGGATGGATGTTTATATTTATTTTTTTTTCCATTTCATTCATTGTTTTCAAACCAAACAATGAAGAAAAAATAAATAAATAAATAAATAAAGTTCTGGAAGGAAGGAAGCAGAAAAATTATTTATTTTATTTTATCTTACCTCAGGTATAACCGACATATTCACTGAGCATATCAGCTTTTATTTTGAAAAGAAATATTGTTTAATTCTTTGGTTCCTTTGCTCTGATTCTTCTATAAGCTGATTCTTTCTGTTATTTTTGACCACATGTTTTTTTAAAATCAATGAAATGTCGCTGTGCCTGAGTCTGCTTTTATGGAATCGATGAGCTGAGAGCCAGAGGAGAGCGACGTTCGGAGCCTGAGGCCCCCAGGAACAACAAAACACACACATTCACCTCCGTCTATAGAAATAAAACAGTCAAGTCATTCTACACACTTTTACATAATTGGATTTTTAATGATTTAAATCATAATTTAAATATATTTTGAATTAATTCAACATTTAAAAATGTAACTCAATTCATAAGTTTGAGTAAATAATTATCTAACCGGATCAAAAAGTGTATTAGGTACATAAATGAGTAAATAGTGATTAAATGAATAAGTAAATACATAAATAAATATATAAATAAGTAAATAAATAAATTGTCGTGGCGCAATGGACCAGCTATATACCCTTCATCGGGTGCTGAAGGGTTAGTGGGAGGTCGCCCAACCAGTCCATCTGTGTTGTGTGGATCTGGAGAAGGAGTTGACCATGTCCTTCGTGATGCCCTCTGGGGGGTGCTCCTGGAGTATGGGGTCCGGGGCCCGTTCTCTGTATGACCGCAGCAGGACCTTGGTTAACATTGGCAGCAGTAAGTCTGACCTTTTCCCGGTGCATGTTGGCCTCCACCAGGGCTGACCTTTGTCACCGGTTCTGTTCATTACATCTATGGACAGAATTTCTAGGCACAGCCAGGGCCAGGAGGGTGACGGTTTGGGACCCTCAGGATATCACCTCAGCTATTTGCAGATGATGTTGTCCTGTCCTTCAGGGTGCACTGCAGTCCACCGGAGAAAGGTGGACTCCCCTCTTCAGGTCATTCCTTGTCTCAAGTGGAGGAGTTCAAGTATCTCAGGGTCTTGTTCAGGAATGAGGGACGGATGGATCTATGGACGGATCGGTGCGGCAGTGATGCGGTCGCTGTATCAGACCGTCGTGGTGAAGAGGGAGCTGAGTCGGGGGGCAAAGCTCTTGATTTACCGATGGATCTACGTTCCAACTCTCACCTATGGTCATGAGATCTGGGTAATGACCAAAAGGATAAGATCGTGAATACAAGCGGCCGAAATTGGTTTCATCCACAGGGTGATGCACCCTTCTAGATCAGGTGAGGTTCTCAGTTACCTCTGAGGAGCTCAGAGTAGAGTCGCTGCTCCTCCATGTTGAAAGGATCCAGCTGAGGAGGCTCAGGCATCTGTTCCTGATGCCTCCTGGTCGCCTCCCTCAGGAGGAGTTCCAGGCATGTCCCATTGGGAGGAGGCCTGGTGGAAGGACCAGGACTATGGAGGGACGATGTCTCTGAGCTGGACTGGTGACGCCTCAGGAGCAGCTGGAGGAGGGAAGTCTGGACATCTCTGCTTAGACTGCTGCCTCCGTGACCCGACCCCACATAAAATGGATGGATAAATAAATAATAAAGTAATGAATAAATAATGGAATAAATAAATAAGTAAATAATTAACTAAGTAAATAAATGAGTAAATAAATAAAAAAGTAAGTAAATACAAAAAAATATTAAAAAGTAATTAAGTACTTAATTAGATAAGTAAGTAAATACATAATTAGGTAAATAAATAAATGCATAAATAAGTGGGTAAATAAAAAATTCAAATTAAATACATAAATAATTCAATAAATAGGTAAATTACTAAATGAGTAAAAATTAATAAATATATAAGGAGGCAGAAAAAAAGTACATAATTAAATAAGTAAGTAAATACATAAATAATGAAATGAATAGGTAAATTAATAAATAATTAAATGAGTGAACAGATAAAAAAAGTGGGTAAATACATAAATACTAAAAAAATAAATAAGCATTTAATTAAATAAGTCCGTACATTTATAAATAAGTAAATCAATAATTAAATACATAAATTAGTAAATAAAAAAGTAAAAACATAAATCATGAAATAAGTAGGTATAAATTAATAAAAAAGTAAATGGAGTAAATGCATAAATAAGTATAAATAAGTAAATAATTAAATAAGAAAGCATAAATAATGAAATCAGCAAGTAAATGAATAAATTAATATATTAATTAATAAATGTGGAGCCTTCAGCAGTTGTTTTCCTTCTCACTGAGAATCTATATTTATATATCTACCGTATATATCTATTCTTCCTCACCATGTCAGTCAGACTGTGGTCTGGACTTGGACTAGGCCGTTATCCTTAAAACAAGATCTGATTAGTTTTTCACTCACAACTTTGTATCAATTCTTCACCTTTAGTTGATAATCGAGTAAAATCTTTTTTTTTTCACTTTGAGGTGGAATTCAAAGCTGTATTTAAGCCTCATAGGAGAGAAACCTTAGAAAGGAAACCCAGAAGAGAAATAAGGAGTCCATGTATGAACCCCATGTGCCTCATTCAGTCATTTAACTGTTTACATTAGGAGGATTTCAGGAAAACCTGAAATACTGGAAGAAATTAAATCAGACTTAAACATTAACATCAAACTATTAATTCAGGTTGGCTTTCATTGCTTTGTGCTTCAGTTTATTACCGTCTGATAACAGAATGATTTTATTTTGAAAAACACATCTTATGTTGCAGTGAGAAACATCGCAAACACGTCATTGGCCAGCAGCCTTAGTGTTTTTCACATCAGCTATGGCAGGCCGTTTCAACATAAAATCAGCTTCTTCTGACGAGTCATAATTAAAATAACATTTTGACATCCTTGAATAAGACTTTAAAAGAACAAATCAAGATATCTTCAATCAAAATGCCATCTGAGATTTCTCAAATGACGTCGCCTGATTCGTCATTTAAAGTGTCAGTCATCCAGAATTATAATCAAGATATCTCCAAGATAATTTGATTATATATTTTCATATAAATGAATAACAAAGCTGTATACCATTGTCTTGAGCAGGAAAAAGGGTAGAGTGCTTTCTGCAGGTTGGGGAGGATGTACTGCACCATACATATACACATACTTCACTGCTGTACCTTAGTTACACTAACCAGCTCTATCGCAGACCTTTCCTACCAAAAGCTATTGGACTCTAGAACCATTACTGCTGTAAAACAACTAAATAAATCTCATCATCTCTGCAGCTTTTTTCCTCTGTTTCATCCTCTAGACAGAAACATTCCTCCACCTTTAGCCCATTTCTTAAAATCAGCCTTCTTAGATGCAAACAACTTTTAAAGTATGCTATTTTTAATAACTAATAGCTCTTGTGTATTCTTCCTACACTGCGAACCGGCCCTTATTTACCCACATTGTTTTGATCTGTTTTATTTCAATCATGTTTCACCTGCTCCTCCTAACCCTAACCCTGGTCTATTCTCCTCTCCATCCATCTTCTCCTGCTTAGTCCTTGTCAGAGTGGCAGTGGGGCTGGTGTCTATCTCCAGCTATCTATGGGTGAGAGGCGGGGTCCACCCTGGACAGGTTGCCAGGGCAACACAGAAAGAAACAGGACAAACAATCATTCACAATCACACCTAAGGAGAATTTAGAGAAACCAATTAACCTAACAGTCATGTTTTTGGACAGTGGGAGGAAGCCGGAGAAGATGCTAACTCCAAGCAGAAAGACCCCAGGCCGGGAATCGAACCAGTAACCTTCTTACTGCAAGGCAACAGTGCTTTTTTATCATTATCTTCCTTTTATCTCCTCTTTCTTTCATCTTTTTCCTTTTTTTCCTGTCTTTCCTTCCTGTTCTACTTCCATTGCATTGTCCATATAATCTGTTAAACTCCCTGCATAATTATAATAAAGCTTTTNACCCTGGTCTATTCTCCTCTCCATCCATCTTCTCCTGCTTAGTCCTTGTCAGAGTGGCAGTGGGGCTGGTGTCTATCTCCAGCTATCTATGGGTGAGAGGCGGGGTCCACCCTGGACAGGTTGCTAGGGCAACACAGAAAGAAACAGGACATACAACCATTCACACACACCTATAGAGAATTTAGAGAAACCAATTAACCGTCATGTTTTTGGACAGTGGGAGGAAGCCGTAGAAGATGCTAACTCCAAGCAGAAAGAACCCAGGCCGGGAATCAAACCAGTAACCTTCTTACTGCAAGGCAGCAGTGCTTTTTTTTTATCATTATCTCCATTTTATCTCCTCTTTTTTTCATCTTTTTCCTTTTATTTTCTTGTTTTTCCTTCCCTGTTCTACTTACATTGCAGTGTCCATATAATCTGTAAAACTCCCTGCATAATTATAATAAAGCTATTTATATGCATGAAACAAGTGGAGCAGTATGGCAATAGCCGTACTGCTCCACTTGTGAAAGTAAAATCTGTTGGGCTCTTTTTGGGATCAAGACAATTATTCTTATTGCCACATCACCAGACAGGACAAAAAAGAAAGAAAACAGTGCTATCCACTGTATCTCCTTTCAAAGAAAGTTAAAATAAATCCACTTGACTTTGTTTCCAAGTTCCATTTTTTTTTGGAATGACTATGATCTGGATGACTGAGAATCTTTACCAGCATACTGCACTACCGGGCAACCCTTAGGTATTCCTGGAAAAATAACTTATCCTAAAACTCTTTTGGAATTAGAAGAAAATGTAATTATATCCTAAAAACGCAGGAAATCATTGCAGATCATGAGGTGTAGATCAAGAAACAATGATGATCTCTGCCTGGTTCAGTCGCTACCAACACAACAAGACTATATGTTGTTCTTCCACGTCTGGCTCACAGCCTCCTTTTCATTCTCACACCTCATCATCGGGGGGGTTTACGCCTGGCACTGTTTGTAGCAACAGACTGAAGATTGATGGTAAGGTGTCTGCTGGAGACGCCCGTGCTATGGCTAGTCTTCAGTCAGTCTCCTCAGTACACCCGGTCACTCAGGCTGATAGGTGGGGTGGTGAGGAAAGCACATCCATGTCCTGCTGTGGCTAGAAGTTACAATAAGCATAAAGGTGGATCGGATCTTGTGGATCCTCTTATTGCATTGTCCTGCAACAAGACCAGGTCGGAGAAGCGGTTCTATGGAAGGTATAAACAGTCAGGCTGCTTTACAAAACAGACTATAGAGAGATAAAATGAAACAAAAAATCAGAGCAACAGAAGCTTCATGTGATTTGTACAAAATCCAGGAAACCAATAGAGAAGATCCCAGTTCCACCAGTACTGGGCGGCATGAAGAGAGGAGATGTTGTGAACCATTGTGGAAGCATTCTGGTGATAAAGATAGTACACCTTAAAAACTATTTTCTGTTGTATTGTGAATTGCTTTTTAAAAGACATTTGTTTAAACTAATGCGTTTTCTAACGCTTGTTGATTTTTCCTCCTATTTATGTCCAGAAAATCTTTGTATTTCTAAAAAACAGAGAATGACATCAAACATCCAAAAGCTGGTTTCGATGACTGGTTAACATTTTAACTTTCAGAAACACCTTTTGAAAAATGTCTTTCTGTCTAAAGTCCCTGAAAATACTGGCCATTTCCCCAGGGTGTTCCCTAAAATCACCCTCCCTGCACCATGTGAACTGTGAGCTGCCTCTCTGTGTGGCAGGTTTTGGGCGAGGCCTTGATCCTCCACTAGGGGGCTCTACAGATCCCTCGTCATTCCTCCTGAATCCGAGTCAACACATAAAAACCACCTGGCCTGATCGAGCAACAGGAAACGCAGAGAGAATGACTCCAAAAAGCATCACTGTTGGCATCATGGAGGGAGAATCGCGAATTAGAACAGACGTGGCAAGACCAGACAGTCGAGCCAAGATTGCCCGGATGATCTCAGCCCTGGCAGAGCTGCACAGGACCTTCAACAGCACACTGAGCTCCCACATCACCTTCCTCCCTCGTGGTAGAAACAGCCTTCTTCTCTCTGACATGAAACGTCCAAACTGCTTCCACCATTCCTCCTAATTATCGTCTGGAATCTTCTCTTTTCTCTCTTCTTCATCATTTCAGGAAACAGCAGAAATCTAAAAAGGAAACCAAAAGTGGTAAGCTCCAGTTTGCTTTCAAGTTGATTATCAAACCCATAGTACTTGGATTCTACATCCAAACTCCTTTAGAGGGACTCTGGTGCAGAACCGTCCAATTTAGGCCAAATTACCGAACAACACAGAGATCATCAGACAGGGTAGAACATTGATGTTTCAGGTGAAGAGGGCAGATTGAGCCATGACTTGTTTGGATCAACAGGACAGAAACAGGAGGGTTAGGAGTTCCTCTGACTGATGCCAGAGCTTGATTTGTTGATGCATGTTCCAGGTTGCTGTAGGACTAATGAGTCTTACTCTCATTGCTTTTTTTGGAAGCCCCCTGCTGCAGATAAAGGAGCGAAGACCACCCCTGCCCCTCCGCCAGCCTCTGAGACCACCACTGCCGGGGCGAGCCCAGATTCTGACACCCCCGGCCTGTCGGGACGAAACTTGCGGAAGCCTTTGCCACCACAGAGCAAGAAGACCAATAAACGAGGTAAGGAAGGCTAAAAAGTCTTCTTTAGGAGAGTCTAAAGTCAAAGTTAAACCACAAACATATGTTCCCTGAATTAAGCCTAACTTTTTTTGAAGGAAGGAGGTACAGTAGTTCTTGAGCTGAGTTCTTATGCCATCTGATGAGATCTTTGTTGTGTTGGCCAATGCTGGCTGAGGTGCCTTTGGACGGTGAGACCTAGAAACGTGAGGGAAACTTACATTAAAGGTGGCTTAAATCACACTGAAAACATGTTAGCATCAACGAGTCCAAAGTCATGCGTTGAGAACATCTCCCACTCCCTTGACTCAAATCTCACATCAAGTGTTTCTTGAAAAGACCCAAATATTTATTTGACTAAGTTTTTGATGCTGAAATAACATATCAGAATAAATCAAGTTTATTTTGCATGATACAGACATTTTAAAGCTCAATAACCAAGACAAAGGTTGATCTTTTCTCCACAGTGTGTTTCTGGAAGTACTGTTCCCAGAACTGAGGCGTCCTGCTGGTGTCCCCCACCCTACATGTCGTCCATCTCCAATCTTCTTACCACTGGGATCTTCTGAGAGGAACACCAACCCAACCGTCTGCCGCAATCATTCCAACAGTGGCCATCAGACACTTCTTGCTTTTCTGCTTTTTTCTTTTGAACTCAAAGTACTTTGAACGGTGCAACATAAGCTCAAACTGGGATCACATCTGCTTATTTCCCAGCAATGCAATGCTGACATAGAGTTTCTCTATAGCTATACCTGACATCCCTTCCCTCCTCTGCTGTGTCTTTGCTCTGACTTGTCCTAGGCGACTGTTGCCGGGCATCGGGAGGCTCCTGGCTCACCCGCAGCCCGGCGCCGCCTGGACTCAGCCCTTTTCTTTTAGCCATATACTAACAAGACTGACTGATCAAAGAAGACGATGTGTGCTCATGGCGCATGAACAGACACTCTGTTAGCGGACGGGCACATGTCAGCTCTGTCTGTGCCGTATTTCTAATAAAGTTCATCTGTGGCATGGCGAGCAGCGGCTGTGATGATGATGTATGACCCATGTTTCACTTTCTCTACCCTCTCAGGTTAGAATCTGACGTCGCTGAACAAGGAGGTTGAGTTTGACTTCATGAATTTGATTTAAAAAAGGAGCTGTCTGCGAACTAGAGCAGAATAAAAGCCAGTAAAACTCAGGTTTCTCATCTACCGACTGGAGCCGTGTGGCACGGACCAGTTAACAACCATCCAGCAAAGATTTAAAGGAGGATGTAATTGCCTGCTGTCTCTGATGAGTCCTGTACAAATGTGGATTTGGTTGATGTTCCCCACAAAAGGCTCAGGATGTTAGATATCTTCTGATTTTAAACATGCGTACGATGTCAGAGGGTAGTCAGGCAAACAGCAGCTACAGTCGGACAAACACAGAACCTTTTCAGGTGATCCAAGATTTCTCAAATAGTTCACCATGAGGGAGAAGGTCTTTGCTCCAAACGAGTCATTCCCACCAGAAGCAACAGCTTCCTGAAAACACGCCTCTTCCAGTTTGGATCACATAGAATAAAAACGACTTCCCTCTGTAAAGAGACACACATTTACCAACACATCTGTTTCCACATTTATTTATTTAAATTTATGGTGTCTCTTCTGTAGATTAATTATTAGGGCCAGAGTAGAGATTTCTTTTTTTAAATATGAGAAAAATGTAACATTATAAAGGTGTAATATTATGAGAATGAAGTCGCAACATTGGCAGAATAAAGTCCTATTATAAGGATAATGATGTCACATTATAAAGACATTATAAATTTGCAACATTAGGAAAGTAAAGGCGCCACATTATAAGAAACTCATAAAGTCATAACATTATGAGAATAAAGATGTAACAGTATAAAGACGTAATATAACGAAAATAAAGTCACAACATTGGCAGAATAAAATCATATAAGAATAATTATGTCACATTATAAAGTTGTAAATTATGAAAAAAAAATTGCAACATTCGGAGATTAAAGGAGCCACATTTTCATAGGAAAGTCATATTACGAGAATAGTGATGTAACGTAAAGTTGTAATATTACGAGAAAAAAGTCGCAACATTAAGAGAAAAAAGTCGCAAAATTATCAGAAGAAAGTCAAAACATTATCAGAATAACGATGTAACATTATAAAGACGCAATATTAAAAATATTACGTCTGTAACTAAAATAAAGTCAAAATATTATCAGAAGAAAATAATAATTTAATGAGAAAAAAGTCGCAACATCAGGAGAATAAAGTCATGTTATGAGAATAACGATGTAACATTATAAAGACGTAATATTTTTAATATTACGTCTGTGACTAAAATAAAGTCACAATATTATCAGAAGAAAGTACTAATTTCATGAGAATAAGGTCATGTTATGAGAATAATGATGTAACATTAAAAATACGTAATATTACGAGAATAAAGCCGCAACATTATCACAATAATTTTTTTCTTAGACATGCTGATAATAATTTGACCATGGTGTGCTAAAAGATTTAATATTATCAAATCTGTGAAATTGATGCCTTTACATGATGCTCCACATTCCTAATTTTAGAGAAGAAATTGCTTCTTGAAGAATTGTCATAAAAAACAACATTAGTTCGTAAATCAACGACTTTATTCTTGCAATATTATGACTTTATTCTCATATTTAAAAAAATAAATAAATCTCTAGACTGGCCCTAATACTCAGCCGCATTCCTGCGGTTGCCAATGGTAACCATTAAATAACACAGATCAGTGGGCTGATTTAAGAACACATGGACAGTCATTTGATGCTTGAAATGGACCATTTACGGTTAAATGTGGGCGGAGTCTTGTGTGCACACGCTCCCATGGTTTGATGAAACTAAAATATCTTTTGATGGCACAATGCTTGGCTTTTCATTGCAAACTTTTAGTAAAGATCCTACATATTCTTTTATAAGAGAAAACTCCGACTTTTTTCTTTTCCTGGCCTGGTTTTCAGGGGCAGGTCTGTGGTACCTCACGCCCGCTATGAACTTAATACTGAGCAATACACAAAAATACGCAAAGGCACAATATGCAACACAGCAATATGCAAAAAAAGAAAAAAAAAGAAAATTTAAGAAATAATTTATCTTTATTACACAGAAAATTATAATAAACAAAGAAACAATAAGAATAATTCCAGGTGACATTTTACTTTATGCGTCATTTATCCTTCTATTTATCTTCTTATTAATTCAGGATAAAGAAATATCTATATGTGGCTTATTAATGCTGCCTGTAGCAAAGAGACACAATCAGTCCGACGAACGTCAGTACTTGTGGGGGAAAAAAGTTTATTTCCAACTTCTACACCTGAGAATTTAAACAGTACCGTGTTCTACTACAGAGAATATAAACGGTTCTTTTTCTAGCAGTCGTAAGAAAAAATGAGAAACTAAAGGAAACAAATAAAGACACCAGATGTCTGAAAACAAAGGCCTTGACGTGTGATCACAGTGTAGCATGTTTCATTTCATAGTTTGAGATGTTAGCTGATGTACATCATTTCCCACGCGTTGAAACTTGTAAATAAAGAAAAGAAATGTCACCTTGAAAACGTGCCATAAAGATGCAGCCCAAACGGTGAGCACTTCAAATAAAGCAATCAAATTTTATAGCTTTTATAACTACGACGGAATATTAGGGCAAAATTACAAGATTAAAGTCACCAAATTACTAGAATAAAGTCGTAAATTTATAAGAATAAAGTAAT